CAACCAAAAGGTGTATTTCTAAACATGTGTACTATTTTTCCTTCTCGAGAATTTTTTTCCACTAAGCTTTATTTTAGTTAAGATTTTAACGAGGTACATTATCTGTTGAATATACACTCAAGGGGGAGTGTTATAAATAGAATTGTATTTAAGGTGAATGTCTATATTTTAGAGAGAGTTTAGGATTTGTTACTTTATGGCGAAGTTACTTTTCCCCTATAAATAGAGGGGTTCCATTGCATTATAAATCATCCCAAATCAATTAGAATTATCTCTCTCTACTTTTCTCTTCAATATTTTTCTTCTTCTTTTATTAATGTTCTAACAATACTTTTTATTTAAAAAATAGATTATTCTTCGTTTGTGCTACTAATCTTGCACTAGAATTATTTTTATCTTCTATGTATCGTTTCAATTTTATTGAATGCATCTGAATGGACAATTTTGAACAGATTTGGTTTCTTCTCTAGTGAATTTGCCTTCAATTGCGAAACTAACGTTTTTCTTTCTTCCTTCACATCCATAGAGTCATCATCAATGGACCTCATCCCCTTTATTATTCTTTTAGTAATTTCAGGAAAGTTCAAAATCTCTCTCGCCAAATTTCTCCATGTTTTTCGATTAGAGAACCAATTCACCTTCTATGGCACATACCACATAAAATTCGTCTATTGCCTATGGTTTAATGCATTAATATGAAAAAAAAAAGATGGAATATCTTCTGTATTTTGTTGTGATGATACATTTTACAAAGACATGAGGTAAAAAGTTAAGGAAAATAAAGAACCATTCTAGTGGAGGTTCTGAACCATAATGATAGCTGAAATTTGGTCCACAATGTAGCGATAGTGTGAGTTTGGCATTGGTGGATTTAAAAATGATTTAGTTGTCATATCAAGGAGAGATAATACAAGTAAAATTTATACTCCCTCAATTCACTTTTACTTGGTACGTTTTGATTTTTTACGCCCTTAAAAAATAATAAATGAAATTTATAATTTACCGTGATACCCATATTAATTGATGTATAGTTTATTGGATTTGAGAAAATAATTTGAAATGAGTAATAAATACTGTTGGTATAACATGAATTTTTTTTTTGTTATTCTCTTGACATGCGTAAAGTGACAAGTAAAAATAAAAATATATTTTTAATATACATGCCAAGTAAAAGTGAACGGAGGGAGTACTATTTAGGCGAAACTAAGAAATGATGAAAAATATCTCTTTTTCTCTATCTATTCCTGCACCCAATTTTATGTTAGTGAGAATATGATGAGATTCTTGTGTTTGGCAAAAACGTTATCTTATACGTGTCATTAGTATTAACATATTCACTATGCACCCACCACCTATATATAAATATACTATTCCTTTCTTTAGGAAGAAACGAGAATTAAAATATTTTATAATCAACAAAAATAAATTCTAATCCATCTCTTTCTTGTGTTGAACTTAATTTGCATTAGGTTCAAAAGAAAAGCAGGTTTGGTATACAAAATCCAAGCTATGTTCTTGCCAATTTGCTAAAATTGTAAAACTGAACTTGAGGGTAAATTTACGGACAATGTCAAAGATTATATAAAGATTCTCAAGCAAACGCGCAAAGGTGTGTGACCTAGTAGTCAATGGATTTGAAAGAGAAATGATATTTCACATTTAAATTAGAAATAAGAAAAATTAGTAATTTTTTTTCCATCTGTCTAAACTTGGATAGATCCAGTAGCTCTGCCGGTGAGAAATAGCACACACTTTTAAAAAGTTTGAGGTGACACGCAAGCTAATCGGACACTAAGTTAAAAATAATAATAATAATAATAATAATAATAATAATAATAATAATAATAAAAATCTCAAGCTAACTTAGGTTTAAGGGGTTGGCTATAGGTATGAGGGATATATTAGTATTAACACAAGAGATGATCTGGCATTGACTACAGCATGCATTAATGCAATAATAGTATTGACAAAGACAACCAACGACAGGCACTTCCTGCCACCTGCAATACTTAAATGTAATTGTCGCACTATTTTGATTATGATCGTGATTTGTGACCTAATCCTTTAATGAAATATCTGTATTGTTTTAACAATTCTACTTCCCTTTGCAAACCATTGTCTTAGATGTGTGGAAACAAACACCTTAACTTGTTACTCAAAGAAAGGAAGAAGAAAAAGAGACATCTTCGTTTGTTTTTTATTTTTTAATTTTTTAATGATGAAGAGCAAATCATTCATCTGAATACTTAGGATCCGTTTCGCTATAGATTTTGCCAAAGTATATTTGGGATTTTGTTTGGCAAATACATGTTTGGCCATAGATTTTATCTACATTTTGGCAAATTCCCAAAACCCAAAACCCAAATCCCAAAACCAGCTGACCCAAAATATAACTATTACATTTTTTAAAAATTGCCCCGAACTTTTGTATTATAGAAGAGCCCGTCATTTATTATTTTGTAACAATGCTGCTTCGTTCTCTCGGTCATCTGATAGTGTATTATGTAGTTTATTATAAAAATGATAATTTTGCATCAAATTTATTTATGTTCAGACTATGGTTTGCGATAATATAATAAATGTTATTGAAATGTACTATTGAATATTTGTGATAGTTTTTAGAACTTGTAGATATAAGCCATGTTTCATGTTTTTTCAAAAAAAAAAAAAAAAAAAAGTGAAATGTGTTTTGAAAACTTATGTCCAGACATATTTTCATTTTCAAACCAAACTTCACCCAAATCAGATTTTTCAAAATAATTTGAAAATCTATGGCAAAACATAGCTTAAAAGTGACTACCTGATGGTCATTTCCACACTCGCGTCTTTGGAAATTATCCACCGTAGATTTGAGAATTTGAGGAAGGCATCAGAGCCCACAAAGGACGTAAAAATTGTGTGGGGTAACCACTTTTTAAAGTGGTATTTACTTTTTATCCGGCATTTTCAATGCTTAGCAATAATAGCCACTAATCTATTAAAATTAATATGAAAAGACTGTGTTACCCTTTCTTCTATCTCTTTCATGTTAGGAAGAAGAACCACACGTGATCGCCGCGGCGTTGGCCGTAGATGGTGCCGATCACCATTGTTTTTGAAGAGCGTGGAGGAGCAGAAAGGATAATGCTGTTTGATGAGGTGGTTGGGGTGGTGGGGTAAGAATCTTGATCTTCTTGTAATTTTTTCTCTTGTTTTGGGTCGTCAAGATCATCAGGTAAAGAGGTGCTGAGGCGTTTTTTTTGTGCAATGGTGAGTGGGGGTGGTGGTACGGGGGAGGTGGGGGTGGGGGTGGTGGTGAAGCAGGGGAGGAGGAACCGACGGAGGGCATCGGTTTTTGGTATGGCTAGTTTTTCTTCTTCTTTTGGATCAAGAATTGCAGAGAGAGGTTTTCAAGGAGAGAAATGAAGAAAATGAAGATGAAAAATAGTTCAAAAGTGAAGGACACTTGGTCCTGAACTTAGACTAACAAGCTCAAAAGTTAAGGACAATAGGTCCTGAACTTAGGTTAAGAAGCCCAAAAGTTAAGGAAAATAGGTCCTAAACTTAGACTAACAAGCTCAAAAGTTAAGGACAATAGGTCCTGAACTTAGACTAACAAGCTCAAAAGTTAAGAACACTTGGTCCTGAACTTACAGTTACAAGTTCAAAAGTTAAGGACACTGGGTCCTGAACTTAGACTAACAAGCTCAAAAGTTAAGGACAATAGGTCCTGAACTTAGACTTACAAGTTCAAAAGGTAAGGACAAGTAGTCCTTAACTTAGAGTTACAAGCACAGAACTTAAGGACAGGTGATCCTGAACTTAGAGTTGCAAGTTCAAAAGTTAAGGACATGTAGTCCTGAACTTAGAGTTGCAAGATCAAAAGTTAAGGACACTTGGTCCTGAACTTTTATGAGCAGAAGGGTGTTTTCGTCCGGACAGGTAAAGTTTATTAAAGCAGTGGCTAAAGACTTAAGACATTTTAAACAGTGGCTTAAAAATAAATACATGTGTTATAAGTGACTAACCGTGCACTTCCCCACAAAGGACTCATGCAAATGACGCTTTTCGCCTAAAATATTTTTAAATACTAGTACTCCATTTTCTTATCCTTTTGAGAAAATTAGGTTGCAACTCTGTTTCCTCGGCCCACCAAAATCTATGGATTATGAGAGAAGTGAGGAAAGAAAAATCAGTCTCTTGCTTGGTTTATAAGACATCATTTATTAAGGCTTTATCCCACTGAATAGAGTTGTACTTTCTCTCTCTCTCTCCTTGTCCCTTGCGAGAGGAGTATAACATTTGTGTATGATAATTAATATCATACAGGTTGTCGTGCGTAATTATTTTTCCTTTTTTTAATGTAGGATGTGTTAACTGAAATGGATTATCTTAATACGTTTTGGGCAAAGGGATATGTGTGCGTGTGTCAACAAAAGTTTCATCGGGTAAGAACCATATTATGACAAAACATTACAATCTTCTCCTACACTTATTCTATTTTCCCTTCACTCCAATTCCTTCTTGTTTATCAAAAGCCCGATTAAGAACAAATACTGAAAGCTGTAACTGTTTTTTTTTCCTCCTTTTTGCCAATGTACTTTTCTTGATATTTTATCTCTTTGTTTTATTACATATAGAAATTGTGTTGGTCAAAGTATAATATCTTTGAAGTAAAAAGTGCTGCGAGATAGACCCACTTTCATTCTAAGTTTGTGAGAAACGAAGCCAATGGTTTTACTTTAGGCATCGATTCAAGGCGGTAGTGCTATACAAAATACAGTTGTATGAATTGTACAATTACAGAATTCAAATGTAGCTAGTGATGTATAATAAATGAATTCAAAATTAATATATACAAAACTGTAAAGAATTTTGAACGGCAGTAGTATGTACCTTCTCTCTTTTCATTTTTTATTATTGTGAAGGGAAGAGAAACATGTCCATTACTTCGAATTCTATAGTAGATGAAACCTCGACCAACCAGATCCGAGGAAAAAGATAGAGTTAACCAGAAGATGAGCTGAAATATTAGCTGCTTCCTTATAAATAAAAATTAAAACTTTTATCAGTAAGGTGAACACCATAAACATTAGACGTTCTTCTAACATGCCTTCAAAAACTGCAGTCTCGAGGTATCCGAAATTCCTCTTAACATAGTGAACCACATGTCCCTGATGGACCAAAGTATTCCTCATCGGCATTAATAAATTTATCCTAATATTTTAGCCTTACTGCAACATGAATCGTTGAAATCATGGCTTGTTAGGGTAGCATCTTTTGACGAATCTACTACTCCACTAATTAACCAACCTTAAAACCCTTTTAGTAAGTCGACCATTTAAATTTTCCGAAGAATCAGTCCAAATAAAACGAGAACTTGCCTTTGTAACCCAAGTACTTTCAGGGTTCGGCCAATTAACTGTTTTGTTAGAGTGGAAAGTTACAGAAACTAATTACAGGGCTCCACGTTAGCTCCTTGAGAACCAATTCCAGCAAAAGGAAAAATGCACCTGAAAGCAAAAATGCACCTGCCTAAAGTGGGATTCTTAGGGAGAAGCTTTCCAGAAGATTCTGAAAGCAAAAACATCGCATCACAGAGGACTGACTATTCCCGACTAGTTTTCTCTTCATGTTTGCCTGAGAAATGGCAACAGCATAAATACAAAGTGCTTTTGGACACAGATTCACAAGGAACAACCCACCCTGTTTCCTCGTCATTCGACTATGTGGACGCTGGAAAAGATGTTACCTCCCAGACTTTCTGGTGCATGAAAGCAAATTAGACAGCTACTGTTCCCCGCCATACAGTTTTCACTCTTTGGCATCTGAATAGCAAAAAGAACGTGTTACAGACTTGACGACTTTAAAAATCTCATATAGTGCAAAAGACCACTTTCCAGAGCTAGCAACATATTTTTTATACTCTTTTTTATTTGTGTGAAGTAAATAGCTTCATTGATGGCATCAAGAAGAATTTCTTTTTATACTTTTTTCTTTGTATTTTGGATGTTGAGATTGAATGGAGCTTTAAGTTCGTATAATTATAAGAAAATTACATGCAAGAGAAATGCGCAAGAATAATAAGGGAAAATAAGGAATTTAGTAGTTAAAAATTAAAATACAGATACTTGTCAGGCAATGACATCTAGCAAAGAACAATCTACTTGACAAGAATGACGGAGTTCCTACACAAACAAGGAAACATATAATATCGAGGGCCATTATGTCACTATCTATTCAGTTAAATTGTATGGATAGTAGGTATATATCTTTACTTATAACCAATCACCAATTTTAGAAGCATTTGGCCTCTCGCAAGGTCCCCGAGCTCCCATGCAAGATATGTTGGTCCACTCAAAAGGCAATAACGTTCTGTCAACGGCACATTCATTCGGAGGAATCTCATGCAATTTCCTTTTTTCTTAGTCAAGAAATCTCATCCAATTTCTTGATTTAAGAGGTTGCAATGCAGAGTTTGTGTTATCAACCAAATCACACAATAAAAACAACAACTGTTTTAAGGTTTAAACCAACATTAACTTGTTGCCCGACCTTAGGAAAGTTTTAAGTCTTGATAGATCCCTAAAACTTGAATGAACTAATTAGAGAGGCAAATACAATAATTTCCTTGAAACTTGAAATTAGAAAACCACTAAATATGGTTTGCTGAAAAACAAAAACTCACCTTTGTCATTGAGAAAAGCAGAAACTCTGGCATTCATTTCGATATTGTTAGCCATTATACCAGTTGGAGCAGGTGCAGCAGATAGTCTAATTGTGGGAGGGGAACAAGTGTTGCTCCTACTTGAGAGCTCATTAAGGGTATGATTTCCAGTTTGATGGCTCACATAGATGTCCAAGCTAGCAGACGAAGACATTCCTATCTTTCTCTTGCTCTTGAACCTTCACCTAACAGAGATGTGAGATACTGAAAAAGGAACAGAAAGCAGTACAACTGTTCTCGTGTCTTATTTCCATTTTGATCTCGAGCAGTTTAGTCATTGCAGTACCTGTCTTTCCGCTTCTCAAGATATCTTTGTACTGATGCTTTCCTGCTTGGGTGGCCTTCCACTGCTTCTGCATAATTGGTTTTGGAGGGATGGGAGAGAGAGAAAGATATAAGAAAGAAATTTATGGAGAAGTTGATTGCTTTGACTTCAAGTCTTGCATTAATTAGAGGGCATTCAACAATAGTGCATTGACAAAAGAATAAAAGAGCTGCAGATCGATCTTCTTAACTTTCGGAAATCCTTTCCTTATGTAAAATATCACAATGTTTACATAGAAAATGGTCAGGTTATGATGTGGGCTCCATGATTCTGTTAAGAGTAACCAACTGATTCTATTAAAACAGTGGTTCACAGGAGAAACGACATTGTTAAATCTTCTAGTCTGCAGACGTTTTGTTTGTAGATAAGTATCTTCTAGTCTGCAGACTTTGTTATGCAATTCAATTCAAATGCAAAACCTGATTTTTGGAAGAACCTTCAGCGCATCAGTCGTAAAATATCCAAGCAACAGCTGGACTCGTTATCTTTTCCTCCAGTCTTTTTTCTATTTTCTTATAATGATGGTCTTCGAGCGAGCTTGCGCAAAACTTGACTATTCTACGGGGTACCTGCTACCTCACACCAACACAAGTATCGGATACTCCACCAACTCAGACTAATGCAGATGGGAAGAAATCACCCTGGCATTTTTTGTTTTTCATGGGATTTGAACTTGGTCTCTAAGGTTTTGACCTACTTCATTAACTGCTAAGCCATACCCTTGGGTGCTCCTCTAGTTTTCAGGCACCACTTCAATAGTTTGGTTGCTTGTGGAATTTCGAAATGTCTTCCATATAAATATAAAATCTGGTCAGGATGATAGGTCTTGAATTATAAAGAGTAGTAATCTATCTTCTTTTTTTAAAATAAGTTACTGAGTGGTAATATTTAAACAATGACAAGTTTTGCCGTATCTTTTCCTCTGATTTTCAGCTACGATGCTGTAATAGATAAATTCTAATGCAAGCTAGAGGTCAGCAAGGCCAGTTAACATGGAGAAAGAAAGCCATGGCCTCACACCACCCTGGGAAGGGGGGGAGGTTACACTAGATGTGGCTAGATACTAAAAGCCAAAGATTGTGACTTTGACATTAGCATGGTCCAGTAGGCCCGGAATGAAGTCCTTTCATGAGAAAGTTGATATCTTCATGCAGTGACCTCGCTTGATACTTAAGAAGCAAAATTATCCAACAAAGAATGGCAGGGATAAATAGTAACACCAATTACATTGCTCAATTAAACTAAACACAAAAGAGTCTAATAAGTTTCAGGAAGGTACAATGAGAATTTTTCCCCCTTTGGGGGGTATTTTCGGGTAAGAGGGTGAGGGGGCAGAATCAGAAAGAATAAAAGAAAACCAAAGAACTTGCCAGAGTTGTCTTCATAGAAGGTATTGCTTTCCTCCGGACGCAGGCGAGTCACTTCACTCATTTTCCCTGTAATATATTCAAATTAATATGTTTTGTAACACAAGGACACACCACGTGGAGATTCAATGAAAAGTTACTTTTCATAGGAAGCCGTAATCTAGATGTAAATTCATATATGAACTTTGGGAAGAGGGGGAGTGGGAAGAATCAAATTTATCAGCACAATCAAGTACTTTACAGGTTATTTCTGTTTTTCGATTAAACTTTAAGCACATGCCATCAAAATCCCCAAACACATGGACTAGATAGAACCTGTTTGCATGGTTGGCATGAGCACCATAGCAGAATCTGGACCCAGTTTAACACTTGAAGCTTGCAAATGGCATTCGGAATGTCGAGCTGCTAAGGTAGCACCCAATGGAGTTTCTGAAGGCACGCAGAGTGGAGTTGCTGCGAGATGCATGATTGCTCGTGCCTGAAAATACGCCAGTGACCACAAAAGGAACCAAAATAGTGAATTGTCGACATTAATTCGCTGTAGTTCTGATGTGCATCATAGCTTAAACTACCTTTTCAGCGGGCACATCATCGTACACATTCACCTTGCCACAATAGAAGATTGTCAATTGACTTGCTGGTGTGTTTCCCAAATCTGTGGTTCTGGATTCACCAAGACAAGGGCAATTAGCATTTGAAGTTTTGAACTAAATATAATGGAATTTCAAGAAATCTCAGTCTGTAAAGGCGTATGCACTGGTAGAATCACAAGTTGCCTTAGGGCCATCTTCAATAGAATGGTTTTTAGCAGAATATAAACTACAAAAGCAGAGGAAAAATCAACTACATAAAAGCAGAAGAAAAAAAATAAGAAGTATGTGAACAAAGCAATTTTAATGATTTGTAGGAAACAGAGGAAGAATCTTTCCAACAAGCCAAAGGGTAAATTAATAAATGTAGAAGAATATATGGAAATGAAAATACATCTTCGGAAAGAGATGACTAGAAGACTTAAATCGAAAACTACAAATGTATACAGTACAAGAAACATGTTGTTCTGAGCTGCATGATTATCTTCCAAGTTCTCACATGATAGCTGTGGAACCATTGAAGTCATACTTTAAGCTACTGCGAGAAGCCTAAGGGTTTTGGTTGAGGCAGTTGATACAGTGTAACTCCAAATGATAACCCTTTTACTAAAAGTATCCCTAGTAGCACCCAGTCCATGGTCTTCAACATTTTTCAATTGTACATATTGCTCTTACCCGCAACACAATAAGCTCTATAGGAGCAACAATGCGGTGACCCTCTGGGATCTCGCAAATGGTCTAAGTTACTCCAACACGGCAGTTTAGGTGCCACCCCTGTGACAACACGACACTATTTTGGGTACGTTGATCACGACAGAAGAAAAAATTCGAGACGAGATACAATTTGATTCCTAAAAATCAGAACTAAAACTAGGTTAAATTTGAAGAAAGTAGCATACCTTATCTAGGAAATCAATCCTTTACTACTGCTTGAGAATTAAAAAAAACCATATTTTACATGCTATACGTAAGTATACCACAAAAATTCTCATAATTTAGAGATATTTTTTTTTTTGATTTATTTTAGCCGGATCCCCTCACTCGTATTCGTATTAGAATCCGTATCCACGAATCTTAGAATTTACAGTTCGAAGGATCCGCACCCAGTTGGACACCCGCACTTGTGTTCGAGCAACTTAGCCAGTGGTAGTAGAATTTGGGACACAACCAACGCAGTACGAACAACTCTGTAAATGAGATGTAGTACCCGAAATAAGATGTACATTGGCAAGTAAAAATCTCTTAATGCAATGCAAAATGCAGTCAAAGCCGGAAAGACTGAAGCTCTCAAGCGAGGCTAATAGCCAGTTTGGCCAAGCTTTTTTTTGGGCCAAAAGTGCTTTTTTGGCTCAAAGCACTTTTGACAAAAAATTGAGGTGTTTGGCCAAACTTTTGGAAGGAAAAAAAGTGCTTTTGAGGAGAAGCAGAAGCAGTTTTTGAGAAGCAGAAAAAAGTAGCTTCTCTCCAAAAGCGCTTTTCTGAGAAGTACTTTTGAGAAAAAAACACTTAGAAGCAGTTTTCAAAAGCTTGGCCAAACACTAATTACTGCTAAAAAGTGTTTTTCGAATTAATTAGCGAAACACAAACTGCTTCTCACCAAAAACACTTTTAAAAAGTACTTTTAAGAAAAACACTTCTCAAATAAGCTGATTTTAGAAGCTTGGCCAAACAGGCTATAAATTTAACGGGCATGAGTATTTACTTGCTTGTCAAATCATCAAGCACAAGTCTTGCACATCTTTTACCAAACCAGTTCAAGGACACACACGCAAATAAGCGAAGCATTCCATATCAGTCACTTAACTAATATTTCAGGGGGTACAAAAGTTCAACTATTAGCTCAGTTTGGCCATAGATTTGGGCTTCACTTTTTTAAAATAAAAATAAAAACATCCTGTGTTTATGAAATATGATCATGTTTTGGGGGAAAAAGTTTCAAAATATTCATGTTCCCAAAAACTACCCTTTTTTGGTGAAATTTTTTCGTCCCATCACAAACTTCTAACTTTTCTTCAAATAAAATGCATGTCCAAACACAACTTCTAACTTCCAAAATTATTTTCCAACACCACTTCAAATTTTTTTTTTTCAAGTTTCAACCAAATCTATGTCCAAAGGATAGCTTAGTATTCATTTGGAACAAAGCGTCTCAAATTCAGATACCTTATTTATTTGTAACAAAAAAGTAAAACGCCAGCCTTTCAGGATATAAAAAGGCTTAATTAATTGCATAAAACCAGTGGACGATACGATGATTCACCTAGAAGGAGCTAAGTTATTGCCGGCGGCAACAGCAACTGAACCGGCAGCTATTTCACCGGGAATATCAGGTTTTTTCGAATGTTTTCTTCCGTATGGCACCGTCCCTTCAGCCGATTCCGAAAATTCTGCATCGGTATCCGTTCCTTTCTGGACCTACATAAGTTTCATATATTCAACAATTACGTGCTTAAACATGCACTGTTACGTTCGCAATATGAAATTAAGTGAAATGGAAACGCACTTGTTGTACTCTAGTGTCTGGGCGAGGAATGTGAAGTTTTCTCCGAGGGCCGGTGTCAGAATCCGGCGTCGTCTCGAGAAGCGCCTTCAGTGAAATCACCTGCTGAATCGCCTGTGATTTATTCCATGACGGTCTTCTCATTCCTGTACAAAAATATATTAAGAAATGATCTTCAAGTTTTTTTATTCGATTCTCGATTTTCGAAACTCCTAATTTTTTAATGTGCTTAGCAGAGAGAGAAGGGGAGGAAAAGAATAGAGAGCGAAAGAGACCTTTCTCTTTAAGGTAACGGCGGCAATCTTCGCGAGTGAGCTGAGAAATGTCGTCATCGGTAAGTAGGTGGAGCGGTTTGTCCAGAGGTGACTTGGAAACTGTTTCTTCCGGCGCCATGCTGCAAAATTCAAGCCAAAATCGCTATAATTTCGCCGGAAAATCGGCAATAAAGATACCTGAGGTGGACGCGTGGAGTGTGGAGTGAGTGAGTGGTGCCGGCAGTGGAATTCGAGGAGTTACGGAAAAATAGGCCGCGGCGTTGCCGCTTAGATTGTTGCTTTTTGTTTTTGGACGTAACCCATTTGGGGGAGGCAAGCCTGCAACCCCAGGTTGCCACGTAATCAGGGATGTCATTATTGAAAAGGGAGATAGCCCCATCTCATCTTTCGAAATTGGTGATGCCCTTTGGCCCGGGGGTGGGGGTCCCCTTACTACCACCTCTACTTCGCAGGCTACTTGTCCCATCACACAGTATTCTATATTCAAAACCTATCTACCTACACCAAATTCAAATTTCATTCATTGCTTGTTTGGCCATCCCGAAAAAATAAGCTTATTTTGACAAGTATTTTTTTAAAAAATAATTTGTCAAAAAGTATTTTTATAGAGAAATCGTTTATATTTGATTAATTAATATAAAAAATTATTTTCGAGCAATAATTTATATTAGACCAACTTTTTAAAAATGTCTTAAAGTATCAAATTTTGAATAAGCACATAAAGAGATTTACTTAACAATTAATATTATATAAATCAATAATTTTAAATATTTATTATTAAAGATAATAATTAATTTTTTTATTTTATTTAACTAATATATGAAAATAAAATTAAGAGTAATTAATTATTTCAAGATAATTTAAATATATCAAAAAATCATTCATTATATTTATACATTACGAGATTTCTCAATAATATAATCTCTAATTTAAGTATTAGATTTAAAATAAATAAGGCTATTTTCGTCTAAATTATATTTTGCTAAGTGTATTTGTTTTAAGAAAAAAAGTGAAAACTATTTCTGCTTCTGCATTTAGGGAGAATTATTTTTTTTTTTGTTTCTCTAATACTTCTGCTTCTTCCCAAAAACACTTTTGTCCCCTAAAAAAGTTTGGTCAAACACTTAAAGTTAAGAAAAAAGTGCTTTTGTGTGGTGGGAGGGGAGGGTGTACTTTTCACTTTGGAAGAAGTTTGACAAACTTGCTATTATTCTATATAGTGTCCGGGTTAATTTGTATAAATTATTTACCATTTTCTATCAACACATATATTAAATATTGTAAGTGTTTGTAATTTGCTCACGAAGTCTTAAGTTGATGAGAATAGCTTTTTGTTCTTTACTGAAATTTGAATTTAGTGTTTAAAGTTTGCACTCATTTCATTGTTTATCACTTTATCTAAATTTGCATTAAGTTAGCTCTGTCAATAGTACGACGTTCTTTTTTAAAGCTCGAATTCAAAATCACTAAATAAGGGTAGACTGATGCCAGCTGTTTCACTATATTCTTTGGTGATTTTTGTGACCTACTCGTTTTGTAGGCTTGTAGCAGTAGGCGTCACTTCTTAAGAACTTGGCTTTCATAATTTTACGTGGAAACAGTGTCCCTGTTCTTATTACTATTTCTGTTACTACTTTTTCTTTTTTGTTAATGTTCACTGCTTAGAACGATTATAACTTTTAGGGCTCGTTTAGTACGAAGAATCAAGGATAATTAATTTCGAGATTAAATTTAAGATGAATTTATCCCATGTTTGATTGGGATAAAATCGTAATATAACTAATCTCGGGATAAACGAGGAATAAGGGATAATTAATTCCGAAATTAAATTTAAGATGAATTTATCCCCCGTTTGGTTGGGATAAATCGTAGTATAACTAATCCCGAGATTGTAGTATTATTTTCATCCCCATGGGAGGGTGAGATAACTAATCCCGAGATAATTAATCATGGGATAACTTGTTTCCCAACCAAACGACCCCTTACAGCTTGTTTGGATGGTTGTTATGTACTGTTTCATAATGTATCGTATTGTACTGTAACGTTTTGATATATACAATGTTTGGACAGAATGTATTGATTGTCGTCATTTCACAATATCATGCACCAACAATATGTAGAATAAACTTGCAATATTATAAAGAAAAACTAATATACGAGATAGAATTACTATATAACAAGGTAAGGTAAAAGATAAAATAAGATTATTTTTTATAAGGAATGGCAAGATGAAAGAAAAAAAATAAGGTAGCGATGTGACCACACGGAATCGGTCGTTCTATAAAGTGGCACTTTTCATCGTTACATAATCACAGATTTAACGATACGATACAATAAAATTCAAGTAACAATCAAAACAAACATTGTATTTTGTCATAACACCAATTTTCCTCCGTAGGATGTCGTGATGGCACCTAGTCTCTAAGACTAGGTAAGCCTAACGTTCATACAGAAATAACTGAAATAATAAATAAAATCTCAAAACTCAAGAACTATATAATATGAAATCTGCAACTCATAATATACAACTCCCCAAGACCCGACGAAAATAAGTCACAAGCTCTAAACAGAAGTACTGTATAATCCTATACATCAATATCTATAAAAGGATAAGGAAAAATAGACTAGTCAAGATAGAGGGAGACTCCGAGGCCTGTGAACGCCGGCAGGTACACCTTGAAGTCTCTGCAGCTAAACTCTCGCTAATGCCAAGGCTGGTAGGAGGTACCTGGATCTGCACAAAAAGATGTGCAGAAGCGTAGCATGAGTACACAACAACGGTACCCAATAAGTGTCAAGCCTAACCTTGGTAGAGAAGTGACGAGATCAGATCAAGGCCCTATTAGAATAAATAAAAAGACTGAATAAGTGTAAGATAGTGTAATAATGACAATATGAAATTGAAATAACGAATAACATATCAAGGGTGGCTACACGGAACTAAGCAATTAGTGCAACACGGAGAAAACAAATAATAATATGCTAAGGAAACAATAACGAAAGACAAGTGCAACGATGGAGAAACACCAACAAGAGTCACTACCGAGGTACCACCTTGTAGTCTCAAATCACAAGAATAATTCACAATTGTTCCTTATATCACCGCGGGAGCCTTGCATTTAGTCTTGAAAATTATTTTTCCGAAATAACATCCCGCGTTTTAGCCCACCTTATCACATCACATGGCTTCTAGTAGTTCCCCTACTAGCCACGCATAGCAAGCCCACCTTACCTCACGGCAGGCGTTTCAACCCCCAAAACTTATACCACCGCATGCGTATCAATGTCACAATGTATCACAAATCGCGCCTCAAGTGCCCAATATCACAACTTGCAAAAGAAACCAACAACAACAGTATTTTCACAAAAAAAGAGCCCATGACTCAACCACAATGTACGCAAGAGTCTCAACAATAATATCCGAAAGTGCACAACTCAACAGAATAGTATTTCTCAACTTAATATTTTTCCCCAATGTGAATCACAGCCTTTATAACTCAATACCAATTTCAAGAACAAGATATACCAAGAACAACAACTTCAAGTAAGAATCCAACGGTTAAATAACTAATATGGAATAAAGGAAAATAAGAACTTCAACTAAACATGTAGTGCAATTAACAAATAAGAGCTAAGACAAATTGAGCATGTGAAATAGACTAATGGTGATGAAGATAACATGTTAAGATAACTCAATTAAGGCATGAGAGGAATCTACATAGCTAAAATCGGTAAATATTCACATTTAGCCCGTCTACACACTCGTCACTTTGTGTACACGGCTTCCACACATCATAATTATCACAAAACAACACCAATCGTAGGGGGTATTTTTCCCACACAAAGTTAGGCAAGACATTTAACTTAAAACACGCTAACTCAATCCACTAGTAGGCCTTTCCCTCAATTATCCAACTCCAAACGGCTCGAATCTTGCCAAAATAAATTCATACTATAAATATAAACTATAGGAAACTATTTTGAACAATAAAATTACGATCTTTGAAAAAAAATTAAAAGTCAACTTGGGACCGCGTCTCGGAACCCAACCAAAATTATAAAATTTGAAAACCCATTTGATAACGAGTCCAACTATATAAGAATTACTCAAAACCGACCTCAAATCGTTTTTCAAATCCCCAAATTTTAGCCTAAGGAGTTTCACAATTTCTTCCCAAATTTACAACCCCAAAACACTAATTTAATGATGAAAACAATAATAGATTCGTGTAATTTAACCAAAATCGAGTTAGGAATTCTTACCCCAATATTTTCCATGAAAATCTCCCGAAATATTGTCTCACTCCGAGCTCTCTAGGTCCAATAATGGATTATGAATCAAACCCTCGAAATTTCCCATTTTCTACCCAGCCAATCCGCTTTTGCGAGCCTGGGGTCGCACGTGCTGAAAAACCATCGCAGGTGCGGATTCCACTTAAATCCATGAGTTCAACTTCTGTGGATAAAAGCTCGCACCTGCGAGCGCGCTCCTACGGAGAACTCTCTGCTTCTACGACCATAGACCAGGCCAGCCCCATCCGCGTCTGCGATCGCACCTCCGCACATTCGGACTCGCAGATGCGGATAACTCCTTGCGACTGCGATCCCAGTTGAGCAAAGCCATATTTGCTTCTGCGATCAACTGCTCGCTTTTGTGAGTCCGCACCTGCGGTCAATCCCGCCGTAGGTGCGATGACACCAGATGGCTAGAAACTTCAGCAATAGCACAAGTCCAAAAATTGATCCTGATTCAATCCGAATCACACCCGGGGCCCCTGGGACCCCGTCCGAATATACCAACAAGTTTAAAAATACATAACGGACCTACTCGAGGCCAAAAATCATACAAACAACATCGATTCTACGAATCACAACCCAAATTCAAGCCTAGGAAACTATGAACTTCCGAATTCTGAAACAAATGCCGATTTATACCAAAACAACTCTGATTGACTTCAAATTTTGCACACTGGTCATAAATGACATGGCAAACCTATTCCAACTTTCGGAATCAAAATCCGACCCCCATATCAATAATGTCAACTCCTAGTCAAACTTTCCAACCTTCCAAACCTTTAACTTTTCAACTTTCACCAATTCACGCCGAAACGACCTACAGACCTCCAAATCAGCATCCGGACACACTCCTAAGTCTAAAATCACCATATGGAGCTATTGTAACCATCAAAAGTCCATTCCAGAGTCGTCTACTCAAAAGTCAAACTACGGTCAACTCTAACAACTCAAGCCTCCAACTTAGGGACTACGTATCCCATTTCACTCCAGAACTCACCCGAACCAAAACCAAACACCCTCGGAAAGTCACATAATCATGATACAACATAGAGGAGGCAGTAAATAGGGGATTGTGAGCACGTGATTTTTGCCCTATATATG